GTGTCTCTCTGTCAAATAAATAAATAAATAAATAAAATCTTTAAAAAAAAAAGAAACCCTATTACCTGTGTCTGCCTACCTCCTAATACTCAGCCTCTCCCCACTACCTGCCTTAAGTCCACAGGACTAATCTCACTATCCTCTTTGTATCAATCACAGAATCTCCAGGCTCCCAGGCCACTTCCTCTCCTTCATCCTAATCCTCCTCCAGCTCTGCAGTAGGCTAAAAAAATGGGTCTCCCAAAGACATCAGGTACTAATCCCTGTCATTCTAAACCTTATGTGGAAAAGGGGTCTTTACAGATGTGATTAACTTGAGGATCTTGTGATGTCCTGGATTGTACCTAGTTAGGCCCCCAAATGCCCTCATTAGTGTCCCATATACTAAGTAGTACTACTTGAATAACTAAACAGGGCATATCAAACTTAACCTGCCCAAACCTGTTTCACTCAGAGCCTTCTCTATTTCAGTTAATGGCAACTCCATCCTAGTTGCTCTGGCCAAAAATCTCTCATATCCCAATCAACCTTCATAGTACATTAGAATCTGACCGCTTCTCAGTACCTCCACTACTATCAGCCTAGACCAAGGTGCTGACACGTCTCACTTGAATTCTTGTAATAGCCTCTTATCCTCTTATTTCCACTGCTGCCCTCGCTACAGTGTATTTATTAGTCTATACAATCTAAAACTCTCCAATGGTTCCCATTTCTCTCAGAATAAAAACTGAAGTTCTTCAATGGTTAAGAAGTTCCTCCACCATCTGCTCTTCTTCCCATTTCTCCAATTTGAACTCTTCCTTCTGTCCCTTAGCCCATTCCTTCCAGGCCACACTGGACACCAAGCTCTAAATGCTTGGCCAATGGTAGCCATTCTTCAGCCTCAGGTCCTTTGTATTGGTCATTCTCTCTACTCAGAAAGCTCTTCCTCCAGATAGAAATGGCTCATTCGCTCTCCTCCAAGTGTTTGCTCAAATGTCACCTTCTCAGTGAGGCCTTTCAAAACTGTAGCTCCTTTCCTCAGCATGTCTGATTACTCTTATCCTTCTCTATTTTTTCCATAGCATTTAAATCGCTAATATACTACAGAATTTACTTATTTCCTATCAACTAGAATTTAAGTTCCAAAAAGTCATGGATTTTTCTCTGTTTTATTCACTGACATATTTCCCAGCTCACAGACCAGTGCCTGACAAATAATAAAAACACAATAAATATTTATTGAATGAATAAATAAGTCTTAATAATAAAGAATTTGTCAGGTATCAAGATTAGAAAGGGTTTTCCAGTAAGAAGGAATGGCATGTGTAAATGCATGAAAATGGAACATTTAAGAAGATACCAGTGATCTCTTGATGCTAGAAGGTTACTGCCCTGTTTCTCTTAACAGCAAACTCCTTTAAAGAGCTGTCCATTCTTGCTGTCTCCAGTTCATCCCCTCCCATTCCCTCTTGATCTACTCTCATCAAGTTGTTGCTCTCACCACTATACATTATGGAAATTGATCATTAAAGCACTAAATTGCATTGTTGCTAAATCAGATATAGCAGTCAAGATCCAGTTCTCACCTGATCTATGATTTTAATCATAGTATTTGACATCAGGTCATTCTCTCTGAAATACCTTTAGTGGGTTTCCAAAATACCACATTCTCCTGGATTTTTTCTGCCTCACTGACCACTTCTTCTAAGTCTCTTCCACTGATTATTCTTTATCTCCCTAACCTCTTACCACCGGAGTGCACCAGATCTCAATCCTTGGGTCTCATCTATTTTCTATGTACATATACCCCTGTGAGGGTATCCTCTAGTGCTCTGGCTTTTAAATCTAAATGCCAATGACTTGCAAATTTATATCCCAAATCAACTCCAGACTTATTTATCCAACTGCCTACTCCTCATCTTGGATGTCTAATATGTACCTCAAACTTAACATGTCCTAAACTCACCCCCCCAAACCTGCTCCACTGTGTCCTCTCCATCTCATTTAACAGCAACTCCATCCTTCCACTTGCTCAGCTCGGGAACATCTTTCTCTCACATTCCACATCCACTCTACCATCAGTCATGCTGGCCTGACTTTCACAACATGTCCACATGGGCCCCCTACATTGTCACTCTGATCCAAGTTGCCATTCTCTCTCATGTAAATTATTGCTATAACTACCTAAATGGTGTCCCTGTTTCCACATTCTTCCCCACTATCAATTCTCAACTTAGTAACCAAAATGATCCCTTTAAAACTTAAGTAAATTCATGTCACTCCTCTGTTAAAAACTCTCTAGTGGCTTTCCATCTCACTGGAGTAGAGTCATAATCCTTGCAATGGCCTATAAGGTACTACACAATTTGACACTTCTCCCCTTCCCCAATTCCCCATCCAGTACCTGACCTCTTCACCACTTCCTTTGCTCACTAAGCTCCAGCCACACTAGCTACCTTAGCATATTCCCACTGCAGAACCTTTATATTCCTTTTCTTTTCCCTTTGTATCAACTCTTCTCCAAATAATCACAGGGTTTACTGTCTTCAAGTCTTTACTCAGATGTCACTTTCTTAGCCTTTCCAGACCAAACTATTTAAAAGAGCACACCTGACTCCATTTCACTTCCTATTATGTATTTTTTTGCCATCGATTTATCAGTGTCTAATATAAGATCACATAATTTCCTTATTTAATTGTCTTCTCCTACTAAAATGTGTTTCACGAGGGCATGGATTTTTGTCAAGTTTGTTTGCTGCTGTACCCTTAGCCAAGAGTGCCTGGCACATAGTAGCTACTGGGTAAACATTCGTTGAAGAAAACAACTATGGATAAATGGAAGAAGTCTCAAATACTAAGAACTGACCAATACTGGAATGAGTCTCCTTTGCAAATGTTGAGCAGATGTTGGGAGATGTCAAGCAAATAATGGGAAGATGGTTTTAAAAGAATTTTCTGCAATGGGGAAGAAGTTTAACTAGGAACCTTACAAGACTGAGGCTCAATGTTTCTTCTAAAAGTTTTGCCAAAAAGAAAAAAAAAGTAAAATTAAAGATCACCACCTATTCCATAGATAGAACATAGGAACATACAGAAACTCCAGACAAATGGTTGCATCTCAAACCCCTGAAGGGATGCTAACATAGAAATCTCGTCCATCTCCCAAAAAAATCCAGTCAGAAAGATCAAATCTCATTTTGCTAATTAGGAAACCACTGCTGAACTGTCCTCCCCAATAAGTTGGTTCTTAGTTCCTTAACTTAATAAATGGCACTAGCAATCACCCACCCAAATGCTCAAGCTAGAAATCAGAGTCTTCCTTTTAACACTGCCCTGTCACCCTCCACATTAACAATCTCACCAAGTAACATTTCAGGAACATAAGCCAGGCCACTGGAGTACCATTCAAGGCTGACTTACCATACAGAGTGAGGTATATTAAACAGCGGTTGGGATTGTACTGGGAATCCCAGTTTCAACATTTCATAGCTATGTTATCTTAACAACTCTAAGTCTCAACTTTCAGACTTACAAAGTTTGAGAAAGTAAGGGCATCTCATTGTAGGGACTAACTAAACCAAGGATGTACAGTGCCTAGTACAGGACTTGGCACATAGCACTCACTAATATGAGTTATTTATTATTTATTCTGCAGCTCTTGTCTGGCCATCATCCCGGCTAACTCTAAATCAGAAATACTAAGTTCCAAATCCGGTTCTCCTGAACTGGATCCGTCACCTAGAAAAATCATCGTCCCTATTCCCTACCGAAATCCTACCCGCGCATCAAGACCCAATTCAAGTTCTAAGTTTTTCCCAGTCTTCTATCACCCCTTCGCCTTCAGCCGACCTTCCTTCTAACGAGAGCTCCAAAGGAGAGGGCTCCTTCAAGAACTCGGGTAAGCAGTCTCTAACGTTCATCCAGCAGATATTTATTAAGGGCTCACAATGAGGTAGAAAATGTTCTTAAAGAGCAGGGAGTAGTGCAGTCACAAAGACAGAAATCCCTTCTTTCAAGGAGCTGACCTAACTGGCCGCTCGCCCCCCTCACCCAGCCGGGCGCAAAATCGAAGGGACGAGAGGCAGCCGGTTAAATCCAAACCAGGGGCTCCCCCAACGATCCCCTCGGAACAGGGAGAAAAGGCCGCAGCCCCAGATACCCGAGGGCGGGGGGTGGGCGGGACCACGGGCCGCGCGGGGCTCGCTGGACAGAAGACTCTGAAGAGTAGTGCCGGGAGCTTCGGCCGGGAAAGGCACGGATCTCCTCAGACAGCGGGGCGGCCACGCCAAAGGCCCCTCACTTACCGCTCTTTCAGCGTGGGGGCGACGACCACCCACCTTCTGGAGCTCGGCGCCGGGAGCTAGGGCTTGGGTTTAAACTCCGCAGCCGTTAGCGGTTGACACATGAGCCAATCAGATCCCGAGGAGGCCGCGCAAAGGAGGGCGGTCTCCAGGAAGTGGGAGGTGGAAGGGGCGGGACCTCGAGCTGAGGGACAGAGGGGGCGTGGCCAGGAGAGCCTGGGGGAAAGTCGGGCAAAGAGAAATTGGCGGCTTGGGCCTTGAACAGGTGGCGTTGTACTGCCTTCTGATGCCTTGACCCAAAAAGGAAACGTTCCTTTAACAAAAATACCTTTATTAGATTTCTAAAAGCCTTGACAGTCATCTTAGCATTATGATGCCAAGATCTTTATTTAGTTTTCACTTAAAAGCACACCCCATTTTTCTTTCAACTTTCTCAAGGAAAAGCGGCAATGAAATTTCTTTGAAAACCCTGGATCTCATTTAGTT